TATAAAAAGTAGGAGGGGGTGGGGGGGGGGAGGGTAAGAGATGGTACTTTGGAGCTTTTTTGTTCAAAATAGTAGAAAATATTTATTACAACGGTAATACCACGTAACAATGCTGATGTAGTATCACTAAATAATAATATTAAAACAAATAAGTAAATAAAACCCACAAAATTTAATAACTAACTTTCCACGTAAGTAAATTACCATCTAATTTTCCTCTATGTAAGTCAATAATTATCCAACTAAAATTCACATTCCCTACTAAATATTTTATTATTGATTACTGATACCATATCAACATTACTAACATGATATGGCTGTTATATTCAATATTTTCTCCAAAATATGGGACATGAAAAACACCAACATTTCTTTCTTTCTTTCTTTTTTTAACTACAGAGACACAAAAGATAAAAAAAAAAAACTACAGAAACACAAAATATATTATGTCATATCAAATATAATGCGTTGGCCGGGAGTCGCACCCGGTTACTGATAAAACAGACCTGTCCATCGTGCTACAAACGCTTTGTTGAGAGTCAGCCCACATAAAAATATATAAATGTAAAAATGCTGATGTTACGAGACGGGCAAACAATCGAGAGGTTCCATGAATGCCCATTTTCTCAGATTTTTTGGGTGGCTAAAATAATGGTTATATAATTATATTACCAATTATAAAAACAATAATACTATTTAGTCATAATTTACTGATCAACTATTAAATTAATAATGGATCCCAATATAATAATAAAACTTACTGTTAATTTAATAATTATCAATAATTAGATCAACAAATTAAATCCGAATAACATTATCCTTAAAATAAAGAGAGGAGAAGGCCGCAGAAGCAAAGATAAAATCTATTTGGATTACGAAAACAACTAGCCTAAAAGCAATAGGAAGCTTTTGACATAGCACTTATATTCTCTAGTAGTGTAGGTAATTTTTTTGTCTAATCTGATTTTTTCTCCCAACATTTTTTTCAGAATTTTTTTTTGTTAGAGAGGATGCCTAGGGTTGTATATTTCATGGTAGGGTCTTGTATATTTAAAAATTTAAACCCCACAAAAACCTAAGAGATTAATATGAATGTCTAATATTATGGGGTGTGTAATTCAAACATAGGGAACGGCGCAACATCCCACTTCATGTCTTCATCTAGCCAAGAGTGTGAGGTAAACCTTCCTTGCAAGGCATGCATACCTAAACAAGTTATGATGGATGTCTATGCGATGTATTTTGACATGTCGCTTTCAATAAATGAAAATCATATAAGTGACACATCTAATAATTGGAAGAAAATTAAAAGAATAGCGAGATAATTAGGCTTGGGCCTTCTTCATGTTTATTAGCATTCTGTAAAAAGATGATACAAGCCTCAAGGACTGCCAAGCAAAGTTGGTTTGAAACTTGTCAAGACTCAAAAAATGAAGTATGACAATTTTTCAAATTAAAGCAAAATGTGACCTCTACGGAAAGGTAAGTCATGAGTTTTCATGGAATAATAACACTAAAATGCTCTCGGATTAGACTACTGGACNGGGGGGGGGAGGGTAAGAGATGGTACTTTGGAGCTTTTTTGTTCAAAATAGTAAAAAATATTTATTACAACGGTAATACCACGTAACAATGTTAATGTAGTATCACTAAATAATAATATTAAAACAAACAAATAAATAAAACCCACAAAATTTAATAACTAACTCTCCACGTAAGTAAATTACCATCTAATTTTCCTCTATGTAAGTCAATAATTATCCAACTAAAATTCACATTCCCCACTAAATATTTTATTATTGATTACTGATACCATATCAACATTACTAACATGATATCGCTGTTATATTCAATATTTTCTCCAAAATATGAGACATGAAAAACACCAACATTTCTTTCTTTCTTTCTTTTTTAAACTACAGAGACACAAAAGATAAAAAAAAAACTACAGAAACACAAAATATATTATGTCATATCAAATATAATGCGTTGGCCGGGAGTCGAACCCGGTTACTGATCAAACAGACCTGTCCATTGTGCTACAAACGCTTTGTTGAGAGTCAGCCCACATAAAAATATATAAATGTAAAAATGCTGATGTTACGAGACGGGCAAACAATCGAGAGGTTCCATGAATGCCCATTTTCTCAGATTTTTTGGGTGGCTAAAATAATGGTTATATAATTATATTACCAATTATAAAAACAATAATACTATTTAGTCATAATTTACTGATCAACTATTAAATTAATAATGGATCCCAATATAATAATAAAACTTACTGTTAATTTAATAATTATCAATAATTAGATCAACAAATTAAATCCGAATAACATTATCCTTAAAATAAAGAGAGGAGAAGGCCGCAGAAGCAAAGATAAAATCTATTTGGATTACGAAAACAACTAGCCTAAAAGCAATAGGAAGCTTTTGACATAGCACTTATATTCTCTAGTAGTGTAGGTAATTTTTTTGTCTAATCTGATTTTTTCTCCCAACATTTTTTTCAGTATTTTTTTTTTGTCAGAGAGGATGCCTAGGGTTGTATATTTCATGGTAGGGTCTTGTATATTTCATGGGGAGCTTTTCTTTAGTCAAATCTTTCTTGTTAGGGTTCAAAACCTCCTCTTTGTGTCTGCAAACAACATTGAGAAAATAAAAAATACACATACACACAATGCCAAAATCGTATATACGTATAGGGTGAGAGATTAAAAACTCACTATTTAATTGCTTTTTTGGTCACAATCTTCTTCATGACTGCGAATTTGGGGGATTTCTTCGCTTTTCCCATCTCTCTTGATCTGATTGCACACCAATGCGAGCTTTTTTTTTCTTGAGAATTGTGGGAATTAGGGTTGTTTGGAATGCTATAAACCCTAACCCTTGATTTTGATGAGAGAGAAAGAGAGAGGTAAAAGATGCTTTTAGCGGTTAATTATACGGGTTTGAAGACAGTCGTTCAAAAGACCATTTTGCCCCCGAGTCTTTTTCTTTTGACAATAAGAGGCGGTGCTAGATTTGGTAAGTGACCAAAACTTGTATCCGGAAAGATTTTTAATTTATTTTTTGTATGATTAAATTTTTTTATTGCATTCTCAATCACCTAAACAAATAATAATTTAGTCCAAAACTATGTCTATTGCCTTGTTTAACTAATTTTATTGCTGCGTATCTAAATTCTATAATTACTCTATATTATTTGGACTTTTCAAACTTAACAAACTGAAACATTTGAGCAGTTAAAAGAAGGAAAATTAATCAAGACCTCGTTAGTAACAGCGAGCAAGAGCGGATTGGGAGTTTGAAAAAAAAATAAACACGAAGCTAAGCTAATGTAGCAATTCTTAGAGATTTAAGTTTCGAGTCTAATAGGATATTTAATTAAATACACATGATTTACATATAATTGTATCCATTCTGAATTTATGTAACCGTTACGAATTTACATAATCTTCAATTCTATAGTAATCAATACAACACATAATACATCCAAAAACATATTTTACAATATNCTGGACATGGGCTTACGCTAAACAAAACCAATCCACCCACCTATCCACTAAAAAGATTAAGGAAAACATATTAAAGTCAAACTGCATAGATGAACCGAAAAAACAAAAAATGCACCACAGAAAATTGCATGAAAAAATAAGATGGATAAATTAAGGAAGTAACATCTTGCCTGCAAAGGACAATTTGCAAATTAACGAAGGATAAGGTTTCCAATATCTGCTGGAAATTGTAGTATCCATGGACTAAACAAGAACCAAAAAACTTACTTGGTTATGTCCTTGTAACGGCCAGCCAGGTACAGCTTTGCTGCATCTGTCAATGGCTGAACTGCTTCGGCCATTAATACGCTGGAAGGAAGCTCCAGATATAGCAACGCAGACTCAGGTGACATGGACAAATTCCGCAATAGACGACTGCAATACCTCATGCATGAAGCAACCTCGAATTTGTCAGCAGCCATCAGCACATCCAACAAAACAGGGGCTGTAGTTGCAGTTAAGGAATTGCTATACATGAAATTAAGAAGCTCCATTAGGGCAGCTTCCTCTGTTCCACAGAAAAAGAAAAGGATAATTTTATTACCTAAACACCTAAACAAATAATAATTTAGTCCAAAACTATGTCTATTGCCTTGTTTAACTAATTTTATTGCTGCGTATCTAAATTCTGTAATTACTCTATATTATTTGGACTTTTCAAACTTAACAAACTGAAACATTTGAGCAGTTAAAAGAAGAAAAATTAATCAAGACCTCGTTAGTAACAGCGAGCAAGAGCGGATTGGGAGTTTGAAAAAAAAATAAACACGAAGCTAAGCTAATGTAGCAATTCTTAGAGATTTAAGTTTCGAGTCTAATAGGATATTTAATTAAATACACATGATTTACATATAATTGTATCCATTCTGAATTTATGTAACCGTTACGAATTTACATAATCTTCAATTCTATAGTAATCAATACAACACATAATACATCCAAAAACATATTTTACAATATTTTTCCCTTTCATTTTCTTTCACTAAACACAATAGTGGTGGAACCAAAAACTTCCAAACCAACAAATGAAAGAGTAAAACACAAGCATATAGTACAGAACAATTTTACTGATATCAAGGCACATAGAATGTCGCTCTAGGACTTAAGGGCTAAGAGGAAGTCACATATATAAATGACCAAAGTTCAAACACTGCCCTTGATGGCAGAACTATATCCATTTTGCTCATCGTTATACCTATCCCACAGCATGACACCCCCATATTTCGAAAACCCCTTGGTAAATGGTAGAATTTCCGACACTAGCGTTTGTTTCGGAACATAACCACTGCCGGCAGCAGCCTCAGAAGCTGGCAGCCCGATAAAGATCAACCCGGCCGGGATAGAGTTCCATTCATTCCATGAATTCTTAAAATTGTTGATGTTATTGGCATTGTACTCACAAGGTCTATTGTTGTAGAATTGGACCCAAACATAGTCAAAAAGGCCAGTTCTAAGAGCATCATCAAGCCACTGGTCAGGAAATGGACACTGTGGTGCTGCACTTAAGTACACTTTTCTACCTGGTTGGCTATACTCTGATAGTTTTCTAGCAAGGGCAGCATAATGAGGCTCTCCTGCTTCAATGTCAAAGTCTACACCATCCAATATAGCATCACCAAGGGGTCTAAAATTGGCTTGGCCCCCTAGGAAGTGATTCCATATGTAGTCAGCTACCTGCCTCGCGTCATCATCCGAGGATAGGGAATAGCTCCCTTGGCCGCCTCCGATCGAAAGCATGACCTTAATCCCTTGCCCTTGGCACTGGCGAATGTCATTGCTCACTTTCTGGCATCTGCCGGATGACGGGTCGCAATGACCGGCTAGGTTGATCTGAGGAGTCTGGCCATTCCCGAATGTTGAGAGGAAGGCTATGTTAATAATCTCATATATTCCGGAAGTGCATGTGTCGGTCAATGTGCCTTCCCCCGCATTTTGGCCCCAATAAACCGCAATGCCTCCAGCCTCCGATTTCAAGAATAGTGCAAGTAGCACCATTAGGGTGCAAAATACAAGAGGAGAAGAAAGTTTCTTGCCCATGGTTGAGTCATCTAACTGGAGCTTCTGGATGAGCTTGATGACCCCCATAAGGGGTGACCGACCTATATTTATAGATAAAAATCTATGGCCCCAATACATTTAGTCCAAACAATTGAGAGCAGTTACCATTCAACAATGACCCAACTTTCAACTGTTTTCAATGGATTGGCCTTTAACTTGATATTATTGAATTATAACTTAGTTTGTTTGAATCGTAACATACCTGTTTGATTGAATCATAACTTAACGTGTTTGAATCATAATTTAACTTGTCGGCATTATACCAAAGTGAAAGATATTTACTATCGATGCTTATGGTCCTTCGTCAATCATGTGAACATGGGTTGCTTGACTTGAAGTCAACCAACCTACTCTTCGAGCGTGATCAATGCAATAAATTTGCACAATTGCTTGACTTCCATGGAGTTCGGCACATTGAACACGGAGCTTAGGGTATGGACAAATATAGCTATAAAAGCTGTGGAAACACAAGCACCCCCAAAGAAAATACTATCCTTTTGCTTTTCCCGACTTATTGACCTCCTTGTACTCCTCCCAAAAGCAATGACTTTCCAACACTTTCCTCCTGTTTTCCTCTGCGTATTTTCCGCTTCAATTTACCCCGAACTCTTTTTTCTACAGAGTGTTTAGATTTGCGCCGATTATTCGCTTGAACTTAGTGGTTGACCACTGTGACTTGAACTGAGTTAGAACATAGGAATAAATGTAACTAGTCCTTAAGGAGTGTAAGAAGAGATTAAACCTAAGACCTCTTAGTTACAAAAAATCAGTGTCTAGTAATGCATACATATATTTTTATATAGGTTTCATCATTTTAAAGTTTTTTTACACCCATAAGTTGTCGCAAGCCAAAAAAATTAATAAACGAACGGTTCAGTCTACAACGACAATTCTATCCCTATGTTATCTAGAAAAAGATGAGGTGTACACCTTATCAAACATACAAAAAGAAAAACTATTTTAATGACTATGACCAATAAAAACATAACATCAAATTGCAGGCAACACAAGCATCGACCTACCCCTGGGCTCTTGATCACAAAAATGAATGCAAAGCCGAAGTAGAATGGACTCCAATTATACATTGACTTGAATGTGCTCATAGACAATTAGATATGTAGTGAGTAAATTCTGATACAATTATATAAAACGACCCAGTAACAATATCTTTGTGAAAGAAGTATAAGGAAAGTGTTTTTAATTAGCAGGTAAGCCCTTTAAAGTTCAGATTTGCATACAAATTATGAGCATTGGATCAAGCAGTGCATTTCTGACAAAACTCAAAATCTAGGACTTCAAGGTGTCAACTACTAAAGTCAATCTTATAGTTTTATTTGTATTGATATTGAATGTTTTTGAATCTTTGATCTTATATTGCCGCCTAAATTTCTTATTAATTTTTTTGGTTTCCTTTAGATAAGATTCTGGTTTCGTCTCTTCTCCAACTTAGCAATTTTCTATGATCAATTACCATATTAGTTTTGTTTTTATAGGGGAAAAGAAACTGGAATCACAACATGTGTGATAGACATTTTAATATTAGGCATGTGAATGTTAAATTATTTCGNGGGGGGGGGTGTGGTGTGGAAGAAGAAAAGAGGGAGTGGGGGCGGAGGTGGATTCTCCACTAGGGCATGTAAGCTAGAAGGACAAAACCTTGACTTTAATCAAAATTTAGTATGGACCTGACTACAGAGTACGGTATCGATAAAAAAAAATTGATATTGGGTGTTGAAATTTTTGGTTGGTGGTAATTTTCTATCTTATTCGATCTTACGTTACCCTATTGAACAATTAGCCGTAAAAATCGGGTAGGAATGCAGAATACTCATTAACTTTCGCATTCCTATCCTATCCTACCCGTAAAAAATATATTTAATTTTTTTATATATTTTTTTAATAATTATAAAAGTATTTGTGTGGTATAATTTATNGAACGGTTCAGTCTACAACGACAATTCTATCCCTATGTTATCTAGAAAAAGATGAGGTGTACACCTTATCAAACATACAAAAAGAAAAACTATTTTAATGACTATGACCAATAAAAACATAACATCAAATTGCAGGCAACACAAGCATCGACCTACCCCTGGGCTCTTGATCACAAAAATGAATGCAAAGCCGAAGTAGAATGGACTCCAATTATACATTGACTTGAATGTGCTCATAGACAATTAGATATGTAGTGAGTAAATTCTGATACAATTATATAAAACGACCCAGTAACAATATCTTTGTGAAAGAAGTATAAGGAAAGTGTTTTTAATTAGCAGGTAAGCCCTTTAAAGTTCAGATTTGCATACAAATTATGAGCATTGGATCAAGCAGTGCATTTCTGACAAAACTCAAAATCTAGGACTTCAAGGTGTTAACTACTAAAGTCAATCTTATAGTTTTATTTGTATTGATATTGAATGTTCTTGAATCTTTGATCTTATATTGCCGCCTAAATTTCTTATTAANCTTCTGGATGAGCTTGATGACCCCCATAAGGGGTGACCGACCTATATTTATAGATAAAAATCTATGGCCCCAATACATTTAGTCCAAACAATTGAGAGCAGTTACCATTCAACAATGACCCAACTTTCAACTGTTTTCAATGGATTGGCCTTTAACTTGATATTATTGAATTATAACTTAGTTTGTTTGAATCGTAACATACCTGTTTGATTGAATCATAACTTAACCTGTTTGAATCATAATTTAACTTGTCGGCACTATACCAAAGTGAAAGATATTTACTATCGATGCTTATGGTCCTTCGTCAATCATGTGAACATGGGTTGCTTGACTTGAAGTCAACCAACCTACTCTTCGAGCGTGATCAATGCAATAAATTTGCACAATTGCTTGACTTCCATGGAGTTCGGCACATTGAACACGGAGCTTAGGGTATGGACAAATATAGCTATAAAAGCTGTGGAAACACAAGCACCCCCAAAGAAAATACTATCCTTTTGCTTTTCCCGACTTATTGACCTCGTTGTACTCCTCCCAAAAGCAATGACTTTCCAACACTTTCCTCCTGTTTTCCTCTGCGTATTTTCCACTTCAATTTACCCCGAACTCTTTTTTGCTACAGAGTGTTTAGATTTGCGTTGATTAGTCGCTTAAACTTAGTGGTTGACCACTGTGACTTGAACTGAGTTAGAATATAGGAATAAAGGTGACTAGTCCTTAAAGAGTGTGAGAAGAGCTTAAACCTAAAACCTCTTAGTTACCAAAAATCAGTGTCTAGTAATGCATATATATATTTATATATAGGTTTCATCATTTTAAGGTTTTTTTTCACCCATAAGTTGTCGCAAGCCAAAAAAATTAATAAACAAACGGTTCAGTCTACAACGACAATTTTATCCCTATGTTATCTAGAAAAAGATGAGGTGTACACCTTATCAAACATACAAAAAGAAAAACTATTTTAATGACTATGACCAATAAAAACATAACATCAAATTGCAGGCAACACAAGCATCGACCTACCCCTGGGCTCTTGATCACAAAAATGAATGCAAAGCCGAAGTAGAATGGACTCCAATTATACATTGACTTGAATGTGCTCATAGACAATTAGATATGTAGTGAGTAAATTCTGATACAATTATATAAAACGACCCAGTAACAATATCTTTGTGAAAGAAGTATAAGGAAAGTGTTTTTAATTAGCAGGTAAGCCCTTTAAAGTTCAGATTTGCATACAAATTATGAGCATTGGATCAAGCAGTGCATTTCTGACAAAACTCAAAATCTAGGACTTCAAGGTGTCAACTACTAAAGTCAATCTTATAGTTTTATTTGTATTGATATTGAATGTTTTTGAATCTTTGATCTTATATTGCCGCCTAAATTTCTTATTAATTTTTTTGGTTTCCTTTAGATAAGATTCTGGTTTCGTCTCTTCTCCAACTTAGCAATTTTCTATGATCAATTACCATATTAGTTTTGTTTTTATAGGGGAAAAGAAACTGGAATCACAACATGTGTGATAGACATTTTAATATTAGGCATGTGAATGTTAAATTATTTCGTGAAAGTTAATTTTAGTCTGATGAATTAAAAAATGAGTTATCAAGAATAAGGGGATAGTGTGTAAGTCTCAAATAATAAAAGTTGGGTTTAAATTTCGGAAATAAAAAAGTTTTGGTTGATATATAAATATGTACATACAATAGATATATACATATGTAAACATATTCATGTATCTACATATATATTATATAGATGTTATATATATATA